GTGAAAAAGAAAAGTGGTTTTTTTTTTTTTTTTTTTAGAAAAGGGCTTGCAAAGCACCTAGTGGGAGGAGAAGAGTGGAGGCAAAATGGGGCCGAGGAACCCCGGCACTCAGTAGGGACCTGTATTCCTCTGCCTTTCCCCGTAGCACGCTATCTGCATTGAGAAACTCAGCTGAAACACTTCCAAATGGTATTATTCTGCATCACATATAAAGCACACACGGGTTTTGTACACCTACAGGTGTGACCAAGTCTGGGTCAGGATGAAAGCAGTTTTGGAGGTGCCTGTAGCCTGCTCATGCTGTAGCTGTGCCTGAACATAGCTCTGCATCAGCCTGGCTGCTGCTGACCGCGGGACCGGGGCAGCACAAAGCTGCATTGGGGTACCCACAGAACACCTCTGCCCACCACAGGCTTCCAGGCAGCACCACTGAGGCTGCCCCAGCTCAGCTGAGGATGGCAGGAAGGTTTTCTGGCATTTCCTTAGAGCCAGGGTGCACATTCCCGGTGAACCAGCTGTCCTCCCCGGCTCCCTGGTAGGTCGCAGCGTACACAAACACTGCGCTCTATGGAAGTTGGACAGAGGCTTGCTCTTCAGCAGCGATTTCCAACTTGCTGAGATCCAAATGTAATTAAGATGAGTCAGACGGTTATTTCCAGGCTAAAATTTGTCCTTCCTCGTCCTGAAAAAGCCTTGAGAACCACTGATCTGTGGGATGTCAGGTACAAAGCTCTCTATTGGCACACTGAAGGCAGAAAGAGACGTAGGTTAATGTGGAATTTTGATTATTTGGGATGCTTTGGAAGTGAAATTTGTGGATTGGATAAGAATAAATAGTGTCCAGGGCAAAGCTTAAATATTTTCTCTTGACTATTGTAGACATGTTTTTGATGATTGCTATTGACTCTTAAGCCTTTGAGGTTATAAATCTGTCTTTGTGATAAATCCAATTATGAACTCATAAAAAATTTGAGTATTTAAGGAAAGGAATTAATCATACGGCCATGTGAAAGAAATTAGCAGCTTCTGTGAAAATATTCTGAATATATATTCTTAATTGTCAGTATCTTAGCCCAGCTGTTGTTATATATTTGAAGGGAACAATGAGTCATAAGTTTTTTTAAATAGACTTCAAAAAATGCCTCTCAAATGGCACAAGAAAGTTATAAATATTGAATTATCTATATTTTTAACAAGTGCAAAAACTCTGTGTCATGACTGGCAGAAAGGGTTCAGCTGAGCTTGTCCTTGCTAGAAAAGCTGCTCCTGTCTTCTGCAGACACCTGTCTGAAAGGTTTAATGCTTGTGTTTTCCTACCAAATAGCATGTTCTTCATGCAGTGAGAGAATCTGTACAGTTCTCACCACAGCCAAGAGCTGTTGGGTTTTTGGCTTTCTGAAGGCTGCACAGCAGTAAAAGGGTGCCGGGACCAGGTCACAGGAAGCCTAACCTTGCCTGTGTGCGAGTGGAAGGCCAGTGCTGAACATATAGGATAACTTTTCCTTATTTTTGGCTCAGCAGCCAACGGTGTTCAGTGAAGGGAAGACACAAGTGCTCAGGGTGCTCTTTTGGGAGCAGGCTCTTTGTCAGAGAAAGTTAAAATCCAGCCAAGGCAGCTGTTAAATAGATGAGCGGCATCCTCTAGAGGCCTTTCCAGTTGGGGTGGATGAATCTGGAGGAGTTTGAGTGCAGGTCATGAACTCACAGTTCACCAGACCCAAACTGCTGCCCACCTGGTCTGGTCACAGGGACGCTCATGATATTTTCCAGCTGTTTGTGTTGTAGGGAACTATTCTCGCATCTTCACTTTCTTCAGCTCCTGCTGCTTGTTAGGGAACAGTTGGAAACAGGCTTGCAGGGATGGTGACCAGGATTCTCCGAAGCTTTTCTGGTTGTGCAAATGACTGTTTTAATGGGATGAGAAGAAAGGAGGTGGAGAGATGGTGCTCTCCTGCTTTTCTGGCTGGGAAAAGAGAGAATAACTTGCCAAAGTCACGCTCCAATTTCGTGGCCAAAGCCAGTAAAGACCTTGGAATCCTTGATCATGTACCTGCCCATCTGGATCCCACCCTACCTTTTCTTTCTGTGCCTTTTATAACCAAACTCAGTCTGCAACACAGAGTCTTGCTCCTCAGATGTTCAGGTCTCTGTAAAACATGCTTGCAAAAAGCCCAGGCTGCAGCAGATTCCTGGTGTGACCCGTTCTGCTCACAAACACGGCTCTGTGATTGCCCCTCTTGCTGTGTGCACGAGGCTCGGTGCCTGCACATGGAGATGCTGCTTTTGTTGGCAAACAGACTGTTCCAGGCCCAGCGTAGTCCCTGTTCTGTAGAAGGCAGTGAGCTTTTGCAAAGAGGTTTATTTTTATTTTTATTCTGAAGGAATTCAGTGTTTTTCAGTGGAATCCCCTCTGCAGGTGGAATTTTTGGGCTCCAGGACTGTAGTGTGCCTGCACTTGAAAATTTGGCCATTTATTTGGAAACAGAGATGGGCAAGTTCCAGCTCATTCATCCAAGCTGTCCTTTCTCAAGGACAAGGAGTAAGGCCAGCACAGCTGAAACACTGCAGCCAGCTCCTGAATGTTTCCAAATAAAATGCCTTGAATAAGTTTATTTTTCCCTCTCAAACCTAAATTTAGCACTCTGGAGAAGCCGCTTTGGCAGTCAACGCATGGTAACGATGACAAGATCGATCTGTGGATAGTTCTGGGAAGATTTGGAAAGTCCTGGTAAGACAGAGTTGGTTTCATTCATGTTTGCAATTTGTCCACAGCCCAAAGGTCTGCTCATGAACTTCCAATGGTTGAAAGACAAGATATTGATAGCTGCCTTGTTTATGGAGGACAACAGATGATCCTGACCGGACAGAATTTCACAGCAGAGTCCAAGGTGGTGTTCACAGAGAAAACATCAGGTAAGGCAGGTTTTTTTCTAACTGTCCCTAATGGGATAAGGCAAATCTGTAGTGCTGTTGTGTCTCATGGTCTTATCCTAAGATTTGTGCTTATGAGTAACTCTACTCAAGTGAGTAATCCCAGTCAAGTTCATATAAGTAAAAACCAAATCGCTTCATGTAACCATGTGAGTAAAATTAGACTTGGGAGGAAATATTTGTGTTATTGGCCTTTCAGGCACTGTTGAAGAGTAAATCAAAGCCAAGTCATGGGGAAAGTT